CAAGATGTAGCAAAAAGCAGCATCATTTCACACAACCAGGAAAACACTCACTCACTTTCCTCATGAAAGAAGGATCATAGGTGGGAAAATGAGATAAGGAAAGGGGACATAAAGACTTAGTAAGTACCTGGGAAAATAACTGAGCAGTGATAGACAGTATGAACTGAAGTTAACATTTGTTTTACATGACTATTTGTCCTCTAACACCCATAAAGAATAGCTTTTTTTTTTTTTTTTAATCAGTTTTTTTTTTTTTTTTGTGGAAAAAGGCAGGAAAAAAAATTTTGCATCATTTCACACAACCAGGAAAACACTCACTCACTTTCCTCATGAAAGAAGGATCATAGGTGGGAAAATGAGATAAGGAAAGGGGACATAAAGACTTAGTAAGTACCTGGGAAAATAACTGAGCAGTGATAGACAGTATGAACTGAAGTTAACATTTGTTTTACATGACTATTTGTCCTCTAACACCCATAAAGAATAGCTTTTTTTTTTTTTTTTAATCAGATTTTTTTTTTTTTTTTGCAGGACAAAGGCAGTATAAGCAATATTTAACACCAGAAAAAATTACTTCTGATAAAATCGAGATTTCAAGAAAAGTAACTTGACCCATAAAGAGGTGCTCAAACATGGAAATATTAGTTACAGAGAAGTTACTTCAGATTTTCAGAGCAAATTGTTTGCTTATATACATATTAAAACTTTACTTTCACAATAAAATAGTATACTTACCCACCCACAAAACAGAGGATATAAAATGCAAAGTAAAATATAGCGAAGGGTCCAAAAGTTACTAGAAAAAGCACAATGCCAAGACTTCCCCATCCCCATATGGAAAGACTGGTCTGTAAACAAGAACACATGGAAGAGGAACCATTAATATGATATTCATACAACATTAGTGTCTCCAAAGTAATATTTGTAGTTTCTATGAAGCTTCATATATTTAAATAAAAATTATCTATATTTTTTAAAAACGTGTTGCTATCAAGTACTACTATGGGCTAGGAGTGCAGTTTAGCTAACATTGTAACATCTTTCTATTATCATTACTCATTTCTCACTTCAGATACAACTATCACCCTTTAAAGTGTCCTTTACTTCTTCTCAATATTCTCATTTTGTGCACTTTTGTTTTCTTGAGATCCCCTTCTTCAACCACTGTGAAATTCTCCAGTGCTTCCAAGAAAAATGCAGGCTTTGTAAAAGAATGAGGAGAGATGAACACGACACAACTAAGCGTTTCATTGTCCACAGCCAAGCAACACTACATCTTCACTAGCTTCAAAAAGTTGGCAAGACCAAAAAAAAGCATTGTTTTCTCCAGTTAAGTCACCCAACAGTCAGCAGGTGCATCAAATATTTGGTGTAGGTTTATTTTTACTCTTCCCTTTAATTAAAATTAAAGGAAACTCAGAAACTGATTTACTACCTCTAAGAATTTTTACCACAGAAATCAAGAGAAAAAAATTATTTGAAATATCCTAAATACAGATCTGTTTTAAAATCAGGAAATTTAATACACAGATAAAAAGAGAGAGCCCAGATCAACATTTTCTTCAGGCAGGCATTATCACCCTTCTAGGAGAGATCTGGCTTAGCAGGCAGGACAGACACTTTGGCAACGGGGGCAGACAATGGTTGTTTGGAAAGCCCATGGTGCAGCCAAAGACAACAATAAGAGCATCTGTGGGGATGGTGGGATTTTGGGGCTGAAGTCACAGCAGACAGAACTTCACCTTCACTGGCGTTTCACCAGGAGTATGAAAAAAACAGCATGATTCAGGTTATTGTACCAAAATAGGTTACAGTGTAAGTGCATTCATATACACATATGTACATATGTACACAATTGATCTACCTATCTAGATAGATGTGTGTATGTACGTTTATCTACACATATATGTATGTACATTTACCTACACATATGGAGAGTAATCTAAAAGGTAAGGAAGTGAAAACCTGACTGAACGGAGCTACAATAGTTTTAGACCTTCACAATACTGAAATGCAGTCAATTTATAGAAATTTAATTAAATCTAGTCTCCAGTTCAATATGGAAGCATGTTTCAGCCAAGTCTCAAGCATGTGAAATCAGTGATGACAAGTATTTATAGGCCACCAAAACTGTTCCAGTTCCCAGGTTCTCAACTTCTCTTTTTTTGTTGTCTAATTTACACCTTTCCTACCAGTGATCAAATGGCACCCTGATGAGAATTCAGACAACTGCTATGTCAACAAGTAACACTAAAAAAGTACATTTAAATAAACTTGTCTTGCAGTTTGACATTTAGAAAACAAGCAAAGATTTAACACCATATTTGCAGAGAGCCCTTTTTTAGCTTTTAATTTGCAGAAGAGGGGAAGCTTACCTACAGCTCTTATTTCTCTAAAGGGACTAATTAGATTTCATCTTTCCATCTTAGGCATGGGATTCAGAAAACTCAACTTCCTGATGAAAAAGTCCTAAAAATCCTACAAGCAATGAAAAATAATACAACACTCCTATATAAAGCAGCTTCAGTTCCTTTCTGAGAGCAAGATATCAGACTTGTAGTTAGAGTGTTTCATAGATGTACACTGTAATCACCAGAATAATTTAATTTTTCCTATTTTCCTGTAAGTTTAATGGAGCATTGAGATGAAATTCTATTTTCTTCTTTGTCAAAGTTTCTTAGCCAGAGACAGAGATACATACATACTGGCCTTTTTCTTGGCATCTGTGGTTGGAAAAAATTATGCTCATCTACATATTTATGTGTTTAATTGAAGTGCTGCAATTCAAAAACTGGATTGCAAGTGAACCAATTCTCTTTAAGCTGAAAAAGTGCTTTATTAGACGACAGCTAAAACGCTGAAAATCAGTGGCACAATAAATAAAAAAATCTTGGCCATAGCTCAGTAAAAGATTTTGTTCACTCGTAATATGTAAATGCAGTAGACAAACTGTTTTGAGAGGAGGGGAGGACAGAAACAAGGAGAAGGATACGTGTCTAAAAAAACCTGGCAAATAAAACAATTACCTAAAAAATGTATTTCTATAAAGATTCCTCTTATTTATGCTCTCAGAAGTACACTGCAGAGCACTACAAGCAACATGAATATACACACACAGAGAATAACATTTAATTATGGTCTTTTTTTGTTGAAAAAATCAGTATGCTTAATGGCATTATTCAAAAAAGTCTAAGTTCTAAATATGAGATAAGCACTCTAGATGACTTAAGAAAACTTAATTACACAAGATAGTAGGATGCATATTCAGAGCTGGATGAATGTATAATTAACAACAAAAATTCTACAACTCTTAACAGATAAAACAGTGATCTTTTGTCCTACACTCTAGTTTTGCAATTTAGCGTATGGCTACAGAGATTCAAATCTCATTTGGTATTTTAATAGGATTTCTTAAAACTTGCACAACTTGGTACACAGCAGTACGTACAACAGATACTGGCCCAATTCTTTACACTTTAGATGAGTGCTTTATAGTAATGGATTTTGAGACATTCAGAGGGATCTAGTCATCAGCATGGTTCATTCCATTTAGGCTGACTGTAAATAAAACTTTTGTAACTTTACACTTCTTAAAGGAACTTCAGCAGTGTAACACCCAGACAAAAAATGAAAACTTGGTTTAAAGTTCCTTTAACACATCAAAATCAACTATTAAAAGCAAAGAAAGTTCAAACATGACATAAATATGACTGTGCAGCTGGTCAGTATGGAAACTGCTCAAACACTTAAATTTAAAACCCACCACTTTCAACTTACTTCCAAATAAGTTTTATTTATAATGTCAGTTTTTTAGAAGATTCACAGATTTATTGAAGCTCTGCCTAGCTTTACTAGAGTTAACGTCGGAATGAATGCTTGTCACACTTGACAGAAAGAACAAGCCAGTCTTCTGAAGAGATGGTATAATTCTGGCATTCAAGTAGCAGCTATCCAGACCCTTTAAAGAAGCTGACACGCCCTATGCTGGAAGGGCAAAATTCCAAGCTAAACTGCCATACTGTATGCATACACACATGCGCACACAGACAACAGTTCCACCTCAACAGCCTCTTTTGCTAACTATCACTACTACAGATGCAGTACCTTAGCCCCACTATCACCACTTATTTTTCATCTCTACAGTCTGACAAATAAAGTTATAGCATCATGCTTACAGACAGTAATTTTCTTAGCATAATATGGAAATCTAAAGAAATAAACTGCAGTTGAAGCCAAGGGCTGCCTGTAAGCCCAAACAGTGCGTTGAAGAGCCTCATCAGTTACAACAGACACACTAAGGTGAATATTCACATGAGCTTAATTAAGCTATTACTGATGATAAGTCTATCACCTCCCAATGACACTTGTGGGGTTTTTTTGGGTTTTTTTTTACATTTTTTCCCCACTTTTTCTCCCACAGTATACAGTCAACTACTAGAAATAGTACATAAAACTTGATTTCTTGTATACATCTCCTTTTGCTTTCTTTGGCTTCTCTCTTCTAATTAATGTTGCCTTTTGATGATCCCTGTTGCACAGTTACCACTAACACTGATGAGCTAAAACTTAACTACACAGCTTACTATGACCATTGAAGCAGAGGCTTATATAAATCCCCAAGATAAACTGCTCACTAACTGTGTGCTAAGGGACACAGTCTTAAATCAACAGTTTAAAAGAAGAAAATCTCCCACTATAATTTAGAAGGTATATGGTTATGCATAACGTAATTTATTAGGTATGAATTAGCTAGATTATTTTTCAGGCAAATAAATGGCAGCATGGCAAAGATTTAACGTACCAACCACAACAGCAATGAGTTAACTCAAATACCAAATACAACCTTGTCTTACTCTACTTTAAAGTAGCTTAAATACATTTTTTGTTCGTTTAATCCAACTGACATGTTTTCAGAGATTTGCCTCTATGCCATCTTTAGGTAAAATCCTCAGTCTTTATACAGCCTTCCCCCTACAATGATTCACTGAGGTAAGTAAAGGCTTGCTGTTGGGATATTAACTGGTGCTGTCAATTTAAGTTTGCAGCTGGCAGTAAGATACATCAGAGCAAAAAAACTGCTGTGCCAGACCAGCCGACAGGCAGACCTTTGGTCTCTGCCACCAAACAGTGGATCCATGTGTTCCCTCTCAGAAGGCTCTCAATGCCACCATCCTCCCACTCCAACCAGGACTCAAGTCTCTTCATGATTTCCCCACATGCTCAGATTAATCATGGTTTCAAGTTTGGAGATAGGGCAGGAGAGGAAACAAAGAACATCCACACAGGAAGGCCAGGCTCTGGAATCACCCACTTGTCAATCTTAAAGCTTCAGCAGAATACTACTTCAGTCTTAACAGCTGTAGCATCCAGAAGACCCATACTACTTTGGAAGATGGCCATTTTGGATTGTTTTCAACTTGATTGGTTGCAACAGAACAGTATGATCATGAAAAGAACAGTCATTAAAAAAAAATGTAAAAACAATAAACAAAACATAACTCTTTGTCTACAGTTCTTTTAATTTACACGTTCCATTACATTTGTCCATTAATATTTTTAAAAGGACAGTACCTATCCTGCCCCTAATTAGACATCCTCAAACAAACAGTTCTTTGCAATTTAGGGAAATATTTTTTTTCTCAAATATGATGTTTTGCTGAATATATTTAATGCTACCCCTGGGGTCATACTAAAAAAATTGTCAAGGGTTGCATATACAGTAGCTGTCAAGTTTAATTTTGTTAATTCTACACATCTGCCTTTTAATTTTACTTCAATTTTGAGAGTAAATGGAACATGTTCACTTATATACCTTTCTGTAATTATGGTGACTGTCATTTTTGTCA